TGCAGATACTGACTTTAAAATACCAGTATTTTTTTTAAAATTTATTTAGTTTATTTATTATTTTTGGCTGCGTTGGGTCTTCGTTGCTTTCTCTGGTTGCGGCAAGCGAGGGCGACTCCTCGCTGCAGTGCGCGGGCCTCTCATTGCGGTAGCCTCTCTTGCTGCAGAACACGGGCTCCAGGCGCGTGGGCTTCAGTAGTTGTGGCTCACGGGCTCTGGAGCTCAGGCTCAGTAGCTGTGGCACACGGGCCTGGTTGCTCCGCGGCATGTGGGATCTTCCCGGACCAGGGCTCGAACCCATGTCCCCTGCACTGGCAGACGGATTCCTAACCACTGCGCCACCAGGGAAGTCCCCAAAATACTAGTATTTTAAAAAAAAATACTACTTAGTTTCATTTGTTTCCTACATGAGGGTAAGCTTGCATTGTAAAATGAATTTTACATCCAATTTTCAATTTATCAGGAAAACAAGTAAGATGTTGTTTGTATCTTTACTTATTTGCAATACCATGTCAGTGTTTCTCTTTCATTTTTCTCAGTTGGGAAAGCTCCCTAATAAACAGATATTTTCAATATCATTTTTGTAGATATTGGCTTAAATATTATTGTTTAGCATATTGATAGTGTCATGGAAAAAATGGCAATTGAAAAGTCTGGTGTTTAAATACCAGACGTTAAAATATTTTTAATGTTGAATTGATAACCCTTAACCCAAATGCCTCCTGTAACCATAAGAAGGAGTCTTTTTTTGATTTATAATACCTCACGAAACACTGATTTTAATTTACTGCTCCTTGAAAGACCTGAGAATATTTGTATTGTCAGCAGCTTAAATTGACCACAGAAATTATCACTAAATAATTTCAAAAATCATGAGATTATTTAGGCATTTAAGATGTGTATAAAGTAATTAAAACCAAACTTTAGGAGGGTTAAGGCCTTACCATAGTTGGTTATTCTGCAACTGGGGTCACTGCCTAAGTTGTACGAAGGCCTATGCTCAATTTACAGTTGTAATGAGGAACATGGGATGTCTTGATTCTTCATTTGCTGTTCTCATCTTTAGAGGATGCAATTGCCTATATTAAAACATGAACATAGGCTTTTTTGTGGAGGATAATAAAAACATGTAAGGTAATACATGCCACATGCATAGATGGTTGGCATATGGCTTTTCTCTTTGAGTATGGAATTGTTGCCCTTAGCTGCTATCATGGAACGGCCACATGGAAATGTTCATTATTAGTCACTTAGGAATGAGACCAGTTCCTTTGATCTCATTAGTTTGATCATGATTATTCCATTTTAACATGGTGTTTTGTAAAGGTGTTTTCAGTAGATTATTCACTTGCAAGGGTATTTTGTGTTTTATTATTTTCTAATCATCTGAAGAAAAGAGATATTGATGTTATAAAGCTTTTTTTCTCTCATATTGAATATATACAAGACATAGTGAGAGACATAGAGCACATTTTCACTTTTTTATTTTACGATTAAAAAAGAAACAAATGGCATTTGAGTTTCAGATTTTTCTCTCCACGTTGGTATATTTGAAACGACTAGTACATACTCTTGGGATAAATGTAAAGAAATACTTATAATGTCATGTTGTGATATAGACTGATATTTAGTATGAGAACCACCTTTTGATTCAGTGCAAACTTGCATTCATCTCAGTGACCAGTTTGCAGAATTATAGTGAGCGTGCCTATATTCAGGGCCCTATTCTTGGCTTTAATACAAAACAAAATGAATACAATCTCTCCCTTTTAAAAAATGCCTTTAAAAATCTTGATCTCCCTAATCTGAAGAAAAAGATGACGCTTAATTAGAATTAGCAAAAAATGCAAGATTGTCGGTAGTCTCATTTATATAGATGTAGCTAAGAACTGTTGTTGTTTTTACACCTGCCCCGCACCGCCCTTTCCTTGGTACACTGTTATTCACCAGTTCCAGTGGTGTGGGCTGCCAAAATCCCCACGGTGTAGCTCTGGATCATGTAACTGAAGCTTGGCCAACCATAGTGCCCATATGCCTTGTCCTGCTGTTTCCTCTGAAAGTTGGTATCTTATCCAAACTTGGCCAATAAGAGGCATACCTTGGATATTTCCGTTTTGGAATCTTGAGAAAAGGAGGTATGGGGTTTTGGGCTTTGGAGTTGGAAGAAATGAATTGGAGGCAAGCGGTAGCCAAGCAGATAAAGCCAATCAGCGGTAAGAGTACCGGAGAGGAAGAGGATTTTAGTAGCTTCATGTCTCAGTTCTGGTGGAATTCAGAATTGCCCTTTTCCTTCCAAGATCTTTCCAAAATATGCCTCTTTTTTTCTTACAGCTTAATTTAAGTTTAAAAAGTCCTGTCTGGTGAAATAGACAAGAATCCTTAATCAGCAGGATACTTGTTTGCAGGTGAATGTGTTACTTCTAATGCTCTAGATATCTTCTCTTAAATATTTCATGGCTTCCTACAAATATCTTTATTTAAAGAAAGTTTGGAACAGCTAAAACATTCCCTGATAAGGCAAAGGTAATTTTTATTTTTGCTGAATAATCATAAAACCTGAATTAAGAAATATCCAAATTATTAGAACTGTGCATATTAATAATGATCTATTTAAATAGTGTCCACAACCTTGCTTGGACCCTGGACCCAACTTGCATTATTATGTATTTTTTTCTCTCTACTTTTCAAATCAAACTCATTGGCTTACTCTATCCCCTTGAAATCAGATTTTGCAGCCTCCTGGCTTTCCTCCAAAAGTCTTTCATTGTTTCACAAGCCATCCTTGTTTTTAATTCATCCTTCTTTATCCACTGTGCAAACTAGGTGGACCTGAATACTTAGGAAAAATTGAAAGCATTTGGTTGTTATTAGAGTAGGGATAGCTGACTCACACATGTAAAACATTAAAGAAACCTTACAAATGTTTGAGTGATTTTTTTTTCTGTTGTTGTTGTTTGGGCCTGTGGGGCATTTAACCACATCCTGCCAAGCACACAACACATGAGCTTCTCTCTTTATTACCAGGTATAGTTTTAGGTTAATAAAACAAACAAGGCCAATATTTTCATTTTCTTTTCCCAGCATTTTTATTGATTCATTTAAATGTAACATACTATACACTGTTCAGCCTTTTGGGAGGTAGGAGGAGGGAGGGAATCTATATCTTTATGAGGAGTCTCCTCGAAATCAACACTCAGATGGACAAACATTTGTGGCTGACGCACCTTGACATTGTAGCCAGGGGTCACACTTCCTACAGAGACAGAACTCCCAAAATCATGATTTTCTTTTTAAACATATGACATTTAGGACTGGAGCTGCTTTTCCTTCAGTAGCACAATCCAGCTGCAAAGAGGACCAGAATTCTATCCCAATACCAAGCAAAGATGCCATTTTTGAAAGTGGAGAATCTCATTACTCCTTACCAAATGGTTTCTGTCTTTCTCTCTGTCAATGTGTGTGTTTTGGGGGTGAGTCAGGGGAGAGGTGAAGGAAATGTTTTCTATTTTTGGCTTCTGCAAGCTTTGATACATTTTGCTAGAAGCTGTTTTACTGTTGTGAGTACTATAATGATGACTGTTTACACATAGTCTCTTGGTAATCTAAATGGCTATGTGAAATACGAATCCAGTTTGTGCCCTATTTGCTGTTACCATGGTCATCTAATACTGTATTTGTCTCACCAAACATTTAATTTTGGTTGTGGGTGGTCAATGTTCATGTGTCAGGTGCAATTATTATTTTAAAATAAAACATTAAAGATAATCTAGTTCTCATAGGAATGCATTACATTATAGCTCTCAGACTCAGTTACCAATTAAATTTTAACAGATTCCAACCACAAAATTAAACATTTTTAGAATCCCATTTGTCAAAAAGCAAGTTGAAAGCCAAGTACCATAAAATGCAACTTTAGCCATAAGGCAAAACACTCTGCCTCAAATGCATTTCCTTGGAAATCCCAACTTTTTAAGGAATGAGAAAAATATGACCTTTTATGGGATTACTTTATGGGAAAGTTTCTTAATAAAGCTAATTCTTAAATAACAGATTAACTGGAAGTGCTGGTTAAGCATTGACACAATTAAGTTATTAGAGAGGATCACAAAACACCAGCCTTTCTAGAGGTTAAACTTTAGTAAAAAGACACATTTAGTGAGTCTTTCCTTTGTACCAAAATACTGTGTCCAAACAATAAAAATAAACAGACCTTTTCAAAACAAGAAATATGAAGGTAAAACTGCAGCATCAATATAATCTTATAGTTATCACTTAAAGTATTTAGAGCAAATAGTATTTTTCTACACTTTTAAAAATCACTACAGACACTGCAAATAAGGCTTATGTATTTATTTAGTGGAATACTATGTGATGATGACTGGTACGCTCTTATGTACTGTTTTCTATACCTGCTCTAACAAAATGAATTTCAATAAGGTTACGTTATGGAACCTTCCAAAGCTCTTTAAATTTACAGAAAATAAGTTTTATTGGGTTTTGTAAAGACTAGATCATACAGCTTGAACAGCCTGAACAGGTTGCAGTATATGGTTACACATATACCAGAATATATTTGCTCAGTTTAAGCCCCTTGGAGGGTTGCACTTCATACCAAATTCTTTGATAGTTCCTTTGGGGGAGATTCACTATGTGAGACTTATAGAGTGTTCTTATATATGCAGACAGCCTCTTCATCACTTACCACTGTGATATATGGCCCAAAAATCATTAGTAAATAATGAGGCTAGGCTACTAAAATGTATGTAACAATTAATTTTCCTTCTTTTAATATCTTGGAGACACACTGATGTATTGAAATAGAAGAATTTGGCCTTCTGGTCTATTTCTTAGGAAAGGAAGCTTTAGGAGTGATGTATGGTTTTAAATGATGGCAAACATCTCTCACTCGAGCCATGCCATAGCACTGTCATATTTATTGTTGATGGTTCTGATGGCAGAAGTGCAGATTAAGTCAACTGATAGCACGTGGGGCACTCACACTCTTTCCCCGATTTTATCTCCTACTCTTGAAGTGTTTGCCAAGTTTTAAAAACACTTTGTCATGAACACGCATGTGGTGTGCTAAAGAAAAAGAACAGGTAAATCAGAGGGCAGCTGATGAGGATACTCTTTAAAACCCCAAAAGATATTTAACATCCTATTAAATAAATAACTTAGAAAGAAATAGAAAGGGGTGAAGGCAGAATGCACAAGCATACCATACTATTTGTTTTGTTAGAACAGTTTTACACTACTGTGTTTATATTTTTTAATCCTATCCAATTCTTCCATGATGCCACGCCCAAAGCTCCTTTGGTTGTGCATATGATATGACCCAAGTGCTTTCCAGTAAATGCTTGCGTGTCTTACTGCTCATTGAATCATTAGGCTTGAATGAGCAATGAAAGTCTTTGATATGAGTTCGTATTCCATAAATAACTTTCCCGAAGATCATTCAACAGACTGTTCCTTGTCCTTTAAGTTCTATCTCAGAGGTTAAAAACAAAAACATAAACAAAAACTTAACCCCAAAACTCAGCCACAATATTGTTCACTTAGGAATAACTTCCATCCCATCTGAATCTGCTTATATCTCAATTACAAAGCAGGACACAGAACTAATTAAGAGAACATCATATGTCAGCAGAGAGTACAAAAACCTTCAAAGGCTTCCTTTCTTTCAACCAAGCAGATACTTGCAATGTGTCTTTTCCTTTTGAGCTACTATCTTCACGAAGAACACCAACTTTTACCAACTGGTAAAAGAGCCTTTGGTTATCCTGCATCCACAAACATTGCCTTCCTCTATGAGTGTACCACCATTGGAAGAAAATGAGCTGAGGTGTTTTTCCTTCGTGTTTTCTGTCCTCTCCTGGGAGCTCCTTTTCCATTCAATGCCACATACATTTGCCTCCCATTGTGCTGCCAGTTAAAGGATGCATAGGTATTGTATCCGTTTTCCTCAATCCTCTCCTTCAGCTTACAGTCATTGTTAAATTCTTTCTGCAAGGGAAAAACAAAATCTTTTATTCCTACGGTGATGATACTTGATTCAATTTCACACAAACCATCCAGAGAACTCCAGTTCCTGGGTTTTATTCACTGTTGCCATTTGTACATAAGTTGTGCACTTAATACAAAACATCAACAACAGAAGAGTAAAACTCATAGAGACAAAACAGATTCTACATTAGAAGGCATGTGATTTATTTTAATCTATCATCATAACCACATATTGGGCCCCTTTTAAAAAGCTGATGTGCTTTGAACATGACATGTTTAAGTGCCTAGAATGATTGTTAAGAAGCAAGCATTCCAGTAACAATATTCGTGATGAGCCAATGATAAAGAATGTTGTTATAACCCTATTTTTCAGAGTAATAACTGGGGTTCCACGGGAAAAACAGAATTACAGGAAAAAAGTGGGCTTATCAAGTTTGCAAATGTTATCTACCTATAAATCCACAATAAATACACACACAATGATAAGAAAGCAGATTTTAAAGCAAAACCATAATAGTTCTAGATAACCAAGAGGCCCTGGGAGTGAGGGATGTCCCTCTCTTCCAAATACCAGATTTCTCAATTTTGTAAATTATTTACAATTTTCCGTAACTTGGAATTTTGACCAGTTTTACTCTGAGGTTTAGGAATAGTTGAACAGTAGGACATGAGACAACCTTGCTTTGTGAATTTCCATGTCAAAGAAACTATAAATCTGGTGACTAGCACTGCTTATATTGTATAAGCCTGAAGACTTGGGTCCTGGGAAATTCCACTTTACAGACACAGTCCTTTGGCTTTGTTTCAAGTGGCCAAGTTTTTTAAGGGGATCTTTTGTGACAAAGATTGATCACTCATTCATCTTAGAAATCCAGATTCTCACTCTGGCGTTAATAACAAAGAGGAGATACCTCACTAATCTCAAAACTCTGACTTCAGAAATATCCCTTTCCCCTTATACCCAAACTAAAGCAGTTAAAAAGCTAAGGAATTGGGGCTTTTGCTCTTCTGGTTCTTCTCTATGCAAATCAAGGGCATTGTAGGCATCTTTCAGCTGAAACTTCTACTAGGCAGTTCAGTTTTTCTCACCTCTGCACTTTTGGAAATTTTGACTAAATTCCCAATTCCTGAATGTGTGTATATTTAAATATCCAGGTTTCTGCAGGCTAGATCCTAATTTTGAACATTATCACAACTGTAATGAGCAGGTATATTTTATGTTAATGTTACCAGTTTAAGCTTTGTTTTCTGGAATTTATTTATCCTCTGTGCTTCTCTTCTATAAAGAATATTTAAATGTAGTGTTCAAGTAACGACTTATTTGGTTGAAAGTAAGAAGAAAAGGTAAATTATTTAAGGTAATGATTTTAAAATAAAAATTATGCATTAGAGAAGATTTGAATCCTTAATTTGAGTTTTTTTTTTCTATTTATTCATCCTAGTCTGTCTAAAACTATGGTTTTAAAGGAGAGAGTGTTTTTTTACATGAATAATTGTATTTTTTCAATAAAGAAGGCATATTTTAGAGACTACAGAAGGATTGAGGTTATTTTAGCTGATTTTATATTTGAAATGGAGCTATGTATAAAAAAGTAGGAATGGATGCTAAATTATTTTTCCTCCCAAAAATTAATTTATAGAACAATGTCTCTGAAAGTGAATTACACCTGTATCAGACTCCTCATCTCAGGTATTTTGAATACTTAGACCATTGGTCAAATTTTTGTATCAGAATCTCTGGAGGAGACCTAGGAATCTGTTGTTTACAGCATTTAGGTGAATCATAAATATTAAAGTCTAAAAAAAATCTAGACTAGAGCAAGATCTCAAAAGTAGGGTTTTGGTAGTTTAGAAAAAGGTTTTGGATTTCCTCAGAATACCAGGGAAATTTCTTTGGTTTTTAAACCATGCCCTACAAGGGCTTGTCCTCTATACTTCAGTTTTATAATCTATTTACTTAATTCCATCTGTCAGGAGAAAACTCAGTATACAATAGTATACAATAGACACATTGCTCAGAGGGTGAATAATGAAAATCTAAGAGAGATAAGTTTCCCAAAAGGGAATCGAGGAAAATATTCAAGAGACTAGAATATATAGTGTTAGTTTAATCAACCCCTCTGGGTTTTTGCCTAATTGCTATTTTCAAGAAGGCTATGGAATCAATGGAAATTGTCTGAAAAAAAAAAAAAGATAGGAATTACAAGAGTATGTCACCTGATATACAGAATATATAGGATGTGTACTCATGAATTTTTTTGTTTTTGGTATACCCTTTAAATGCAAAGTTCCTAGTCCTATTCTGCCCTGAATAGGGCACTGAATTTGAGTAGATTTTTAATTTAATTTTGAACAAGCCATGCTTCTTTACTCTTCCTGGTGGTAATGCAAAATTACAATAACAGTACACTATGGTTAGAGAATGAGCTTCTTTCTGAGACAGGCTGAAAGTGGAATGCATCGGCTATGATGGGCTGAGCTAATTGGAAAGGTAGTTAGGTTAATGCATTGCGCTATTCCATGCTGAAGAAATCATGTGGGACAAGGCAAACCCTGTCCTCTTGAAGTCCACAATCTACTGGGAGAAGACAGTCAACAACAGACACATTATTGAGAGAAATATCTGATAAATGCCATTGTAGATCATTAAAATGGTATGATGTGATAGAAAGCAAATGAGCATCTACATAAGAAATAGAGAATGAAATAATTCATAGGCCTTAGAGCTCAAGAAGAAGCATAGGCACAGTGTGTGAGCTGTGTTGGGATAGAAGAAAAAAGTGGGGGAATGGAAGGAAAAGTATTAAATATTTTTATGACAGCTCATTTGAGAGCTATCCATTTTTCCTTGATGTCACCTTTTTAAAGAAATATACTTTATCAATTAAAAATTATTTCAATCTTTTATTACAATTAAAACTTTTATATTTTCTCTCTCAATCTAAATTTTTATTAGGTTTTACTTTAAAGCATTGGTTTTGACTATGCATCAGTATCTCTTCAAAGAATATGTGCCTGGACCTCTTACTCAGTAATTCTTATATAAGAATTAGGGAGGGAAGGGACCTCGGCATGTTGATTGAAAAGAAAAACAAAAAATGTCTCCAGAGTGGTTATGCTGTGAACTCCCAAATGGAACCACTTTTTAAAATGGTCCATTACTCTTCTAGGCTCATTAGTAGACCTACCTATAATGGAAAAATTTAACTAAAAATTTTCTGACCCCTTCACCCAAAAAGCATTTATCCTAGTCAAAGAGGCTCACCCAAGGTATGCCTGACTCCCCAGTTATAGGTGGATCTGATATGAATGAAATACAAGGCTATTGTATGTCCAGACCAATGATGGAATCAATTTCCAGTGACTCTCACATTGTGGGTACCATACCAGGAGCATTAGGGAAACCTGGGACCTTGTTAGAAATGCAAAGTCTTACAGATTTAACTGAATCAGAAAATCTGGGAGTGTGTTTTAACAAATCCACTGAGTGATTCTGACACTTACTTAAGTTTGAAAGCTGCTGGCCCGAGGCAGGCACTGCAATCATCCTTATACTAATCAACACAATAAGTTTATTTACACATTTTTAAAGTGATATTCCCTGATACTTGCTATGGAACACAGGGATGTATGTACTCAAAGCGCTGGCTGGGTACCAGCTCCGTAACTGAATTAATCATTATTGTTTAGGTAAATAAAATTCTGGAGTTGATTGAACAGCACAGAAAATGTTGAATTTCCTGATGTGTCTCCCCATTTCAGATTTTAACGGAATACAAAACACCCATGCCCTCGTTTTATCTTCAGCTATAACACATACACACAGAGTATGTGGTTTTCTACTCAATCCAAGATCTTTGTTTTCAATGATTCTTCCCCAGGTTGTCTGCAGTAACCATGACAATCTGACCAGATGCTTCCGTGAGAGTCTGACTGGTTAGCTCAGAGCATTCAGAATATTAGCATTCAGAGCACTGACTGATGAATGCCAGCAACAGTCTGCACGGTAGACTAATGGGTGAACAACAGAGGAGATTACAGAGTTGGAAGAGCTGCCTTGCCAGCCCTTGAAACGCTGGTGACCAGCCCTTTGTGGTTCTATTTACTAGCAATAGAATGATAACAAAACTATTTAATGTCTGGGGGAAACATTGCAAAACTGTGGTAATAATTTACTGAAGTGGATTTTTCAAATAAAAGTAGAATACTTACTGAGCCATAGAGTTTTCCCTTCTTGTTCATGGCTAAATAATAGTTGCTGTTAATGGCTTTGACGGCAACAACTCCAATTTCCACTGAAGTTATCTCCAAGATACCTAAAATATACAATTCAAAAAGGCTAAACTTAAAGAGTCACATAAATTTAGTTGAAAGAAAGAAAAATCAGAAGAAATTATGGTTTATTTTTTGATGCCTCCAAAATCAAAAATTAAAATAATTGGGGGAAAAAAACCCCAACCTTTTCCACTGTGCCTAAAAACATAGCAACAATATGGAAAAAAATAGTAAGTCTTTAAATGAATTCCCTTGCATTTTACTCTGCGCATATAGGGGAAAATATTGTTTTAATTAAAATGCTTCCTTTGCTAACTCTGCATTTTCAACCCCATAAATATTGAAACAGCTCTGCTCATCTTAGCCTAGGTTTCACAAAAACTTATCAGAGCACACATCTGTACTATGGTATTAAATTAAACCTATAGCATATGTCAATAATATGTCAGATTTACTTCAACCTGTAAAAACAGTGGTAAACTGTTTCTTCTTTGTAGGACTTTTAGATAAACTAAATCTCTTGGCTACATTTAACTGATAAATTTATTTTTGGCAAATGTGTTGACATTCTGAAATACTGAGAGACTAATCCCAATATACACATTGTCTTTAAAATAGCAGAATCACTACTCTAGGTTGGGAGAAAATCCATTAGTATTTTTTGAAGTTTTAGTTTCTTGTTTCCTAGAAAGAATGAAAAACTAAGGGAATTAGGAACTGATAGACAAGAGATCTTTTCCCCTAATAGACAAGTTTTGGTTGGTGCATCTGAAGATAATTTTCTCTGAAAAGTTGGTAGGTGAACTATCTACTTAAAATGCCCACCTAGTTTAGGTTAAGGAGACCTCAGGTCCTAAACCTACTTCTTAGTTTTAAACCCTTGGGAAAGCTTTCTCAGGGCAGAGAAGCAGCACTGTGATTAGCAAAGTTCTGAATCCAGACTGAATTTGAATACTGGCTTTGCATTTAGTAGTGAATGAACACAGGAGAAGTCACTGAACTGCTTATGTCTCAATTTTATTTGCAAAATGAGCAGCATATTAGTATCTCCCTTCTAGTTTTGTGATGATTAAATGAGATAGTACATATAAAATAATTAGAAATTGCCTAGAGCTTACTGCCTCCTTAATTATTATGAGAGGAATGTTTTCCTCCAACAGTTATAGAGTTTGAAGCTTCTTCTTCAACAAGCTGTGTAAATCCTGAACAGAACATACAAATTCCCACTGGCTTAGCCTATAAAATCTGAAAGCCAATATATGTTATCATTTATCCTGTACTTACTATCATAAAAAACACCATCCTAAATGTGGTCCACAAATTATGTTTATACTCTTCCTAGAGGGAAAGAGTGTCTTGTTCTTAAGACATAGACACCTTCTTTCCTTTCTTCACAGGTTAACAAGTCGTGTCATGGTCAATAGAAATGCTTTCATGCCCCCAAAGCAAAGCTGACATCACTAGAGAGACTTGTGCCAGAACTACATGCCATAGAACATTCTGTTCTTATATTCTACAGGAAGCCTGTGACCTAACACAGCCTACCTCCTCATTAATAGATTGAAAGAGATTTCATTTAGCAAGCTTAAACAAGGAAAGATTGTGAAGAGTGAGGGAGACAGTAGCTGTATTTTTTTGTTTCATTGGAGTATAGTTGGTTTACAATGTTGTGTTAGTTTCAGGTATACAGCAAAGTGATTCAGTTATGTGTATGTCTGTGTGTCTGTGTCTGTGTATATGTTCTTTTTCAGATTCTTTTCAGTTATAGGTTATTACAAGATATTGAATCAGTATCTGTATTTTAAACATCCCTTTTCCTTATACTGGTAGTTGCCCTCAAGGTACAAACACATACACACATTTATTTGCGCATTTTAAAAAGTACTTTCTTGTACTTTATTTCTTTAATTCTCCTAACAGTCATCTAAGGAGGTATGATTATTCTCAATTACAGATGACAAAATGGATGATACTGAGGTTTTGTAACTCACAAGGTGATAAAGTGACATAGGTCTATAATGAGGGACCCAACACCTAAGCCTCTCACTTTCAGACTATTTTGCTGTCCATCTCTGACTATTTTGCCTCTCCATCAAATCTCCCGCTTCTGTCCCATTTACACAAGGGAATTCTGCTAGAAAACCAACTGACGTAATGACTCATCGAGATAATAGTCTTTAACGAACTAATATGCTTTTCCTCCAAGGATCTGGCAGGCCACAGAGGATGATGCCTGAGTCTCAAAGAAGGAAATCTAATATACTTTATTTATGTCACAAGCAGAAGATATAGAACAAGGCAGTGATAAGAATCTGGGGCAAAATATTTAGACTGCTATTTGCTTTGCCTGCCAAAAAGGCAAGTAAGTACTATCAGTAAATTATAAGGTGTTCCCTATGTATGCTTTTGTAACTGGAAATTGTTAGAATGAAAAAGGTTGATTTCAGCAAAGAATTAAAGATTTTTGAATGTGAACAAGAAGTAGTGGGATTAAGCTATAGTAACAGACTGAGTTGGCAGAAGCAAAAATGTTCTGGTGTAATAAATATTACCGAATCTTTGATTATTTCTGAGAGTGCACTGCACATGGTAGATCATATTTATGCTCAGAAGCCCTTGGGTTTCTTTCTGCTTTGCACAAAATAGGAACACAATATTCAAAGAATTCATCAATCAATTAACCATTTTTCTTACTCTGCAGTCAGTTAAAGCTAGCTTGAAAAGGTTCAGTATGCTTCAAAATAGAAAGAGGAAGACCTGGATGATTTAAGTCCTTTTGAGTCCTGAAGATGAACTTTTGGATACACCATATGTCATTAAGTCATAATTGATAATCTCGTGGGTAATGGACAATGACATGTCTTTATTGTAAATATCTGTGAATGTGTGACTTTCTAAGGAACTCAAGTCTAAAGGACTTGCCTATTTTTTCATGAAGAATCTCTCCCATATTCTCTGTTCCTTGGTGAGGATGATCAAGTTTGCCTATAAAAGCATTTTTGGAAAGTATGTTTGTTGTTGGATTAATAACTTATAGTTCTATGGGTGTATAATTTGATGCAAAATTGAATGCCAACTGAAGGAAAGCCTGCCAGGGGAAAGTGAGGAACAAGGCAGGAAGTTGTTAGAAGGCTGGGGAGTTGTCAGTCTCAAGTTATCAGCCATCTTCTACAGACTCTAAGGATTTTGGCAAATATGAAATATTTTATCTAAAAATATATAACTTTTAAAAGAACATATTAGAAAAAGCCAATTTTTAAAGCAAATTCCTTTAATAATAGCAATATATTAACTTTATTTTGAACTGTATTTGAAATCTTAAATAATAAAGTTTGATAATCAATAAAACAAAAGTGACTGTGACAAAAATCAGCTCCTGTTAATTGGCAAATTCTACCGAATGAGGCAGCATCACCATAGTAATGGGGAGGATTTTGCAAACTGATGAACTCCAAATGGAAATAACGTAGACATCACAATTTTCATGTAAATCAGTTATTCTTTTAACTTTAGGGCAAGAGTTATGTTTTGATGAACCACTGAGTTGTCAGTCTGAGGACGTAGCCATTCAAAAACATTTTTCTCGGTTTATGCCTCTCATCCTTCTTCAGAAGAGAAGCATCTGAACTGTTTTCTCTCCAGCAATTACATTTGACCAAGACTACTCTTTTTGGGCTATGATAATAAACAAGCTATTGGCCTAGATAGTAACTTGCTCCTTAAATACCTTTTCATGGATATAACAGGAGAAAGAAAGTAAAAGTCATTTAAGAAAATGGATATATACAGGGGGGAAGTTAGATGTAAAAAATAAATGCAAAATCCCATTCTGCTCTCCTAGATAAGCAGAACATGAATATATAAATAAATCCTGGAGATTATTTGAGTAAATTAATTCTGCTAGCATGTACCTAGCACCAATGTGCAGGGCTTGTGTTAGCTCTCACGATGGAGGATGAAAAAACAAACGAGACACCATCTTTACCTTCAAGGAGTTTTAAAACTGGGTAGGATAAAGACAGGAATAATTTAAGTAATTACAGCACAGAAAAATATATTAAGTGCTCTATTAGAAATAAAATATGTTGCCATGGTTTTAAGTAGTGAAGAAGTCATCTTGAAGAAGGTGGTTGGTATTTGAGGTGAACCTTTCAGGGGGTAGGATTTTAATAGGTGGGAATTGAAAAGTCGAGGGGAACATTTTAGGTAGAGAAAAGTGAAAGAGTAATGAAAGCCATGGAGGAGGGGAAAGAGCTCAGTGTCTGCCTGAGCCACCGTTGGCTCTCCCCACCGATTGCACTTTGTGGGGGACACTCAGTAAAAGTAAGGGTTCTGCTTCATTGAGTAGCAGTGATGCTCTCCCGGGTGAGGGATGAACTTTTTTTTTTTTTTTAATTTTTTTAATTTTATTTATTTGGCTGCATTGGGTCTTAGTTGCCGTGCACGGGCTTTCTCTAGTTGCGGTGAGCGGGGGCTACTCTTCGTTGCGGTGCGCGGGCTTCTCGTTGCGGTGGCTTCTCTTGTTGCGGAGCGTGGGGTCCAGGCATACGGGCTTCAGTAGTTGTGGCTCGTGGGCTCTAGAGCTCAGGCTCAATAGTTGTGGCGCACGGGCTTAGTTGATCCGTGGCATGTGGGATCTTCCTGGAGCAGGGCTGGAACCCGTGTCCCCTGCATTGGCAGGCAGATCCTTAACCACTGTGCCACGAGGAAAGTCCTGAGGAATATACTTTTCAAAAAATTTATTGTGAAACTTGGAAGCAGCTCAATAAATGTCAGAGCCTTATGAATTCAGAATCAGTCACATCTTACTTTTGTCTAAACATTTTAACTCAAAATAGATATTAATGCTATATATAGTTTGTTAGTTTTAGTCAATGTGCTGAAACATATCATGACTAGTATAAGATGATACACAAATCCTATCCTCTCTAAGTCTCTTTCTTCCCCATGAATTGTTCAGTGGCCCGAATAGTTCTATTATATACTAATATAGAAAGACCTATGGAGTGCCTTGGCTTGTTATATTTACACTGTATACCTC